GAAATTTAACATCAACTTCATTATTGGGCTCTTGCTGTCTAAAGAACGTTGGGGGAAATGGTGCTATTGGTAGGGCCCCACTTGATGTTCTTCGCACCTATTTAGCGCTTTATCTCTAGCTTTTTGCGGAGTCTATCTTGAAGTTCATGTAAACCACATGCGACCCTACGCAAGGTTATCTTAGAAATGGGTTCAGATGGTGAGAAACTCGGCCCCAATTCTAATAACGAGCGCGCACCGTCAGGGAGAGTTATGCCTCCTAACACGGTTAGCCTTAAATCTTCTTGCACATTACCTATCCTATTGTGATCTGTTTGATGTTCCTTAGCTATATTTTCGTGCGCTATTGAAGCTGTGTTATGTGATTTACTCAAAAGGTCTTCGAATTTTCTTCGCAAAGCTACTTTAGCATTAGACCTAATAGAGTTGCAAATCAACACTGACCCGCTCACTATTCTCCTCCAGAGGTGGTCCTCCAAATATTTAGCACAAAAGTTTTCCTTCGTCTCGCACTTCTTCCACTTGGCGAACATCTGGTTTTGTCGGCTTCGTAGACAAGTGCGTAGTATTTGCAATTCGACGTCCAATACTTGGTGACTGTCCTCTGGTAGACCGCATACGTCGTGTAGTCGTCTTCGTTCGATGTAGTTCGGAACGACTTGATGTTTTAGACAGCGGCGGAGAAAGTGTATTGACTGTCGAGCTAAGACGATCTTTTGTCTCAGTGACAGCGCTTCTTTTACAAGTCGGAAGTATCTTGCTGGTACATCTTGCAGTAACTGCCACGAGTTACTGCCTGTCTCTCAGCTAGTTCTATCGATGTTTTGCCAACAGCAATCACCCGTCAACGGGATTGATCTAGGGAGTCCACATCGGCATTGAACCCAGTTAAGCTGAGGCTGTAGTTGAAATCACAATGTTTTACCTTTTACTTTCTGCCTACTACAATTTCCACGGTAGGGTACTAACTAGGTGAAACGGTGAAACGAAGGACCCGCATGGTGTTGTGGTGAACGCGTTACTCCCCGGAAAGGATAATAGCGCGTTCGTTCCCTACCATAGACACCTGCGGTCCAGAGTTTTGCAAATATCTCAGCAACGTTGTGGTTGTATTTCGCTTATTACCCTACCGTGGAAATTGTAGTAGGCAGAAAATAAGAGGTAAAACATATTTGTTGAATAGTTCGTACATTTTGTGGCTGTTGCGTAAAATCCTTTAAGTAATTAGAAAAACCAAAGGCTTAGCTGAGGATACGGGAGCTCATCAGCGATTTGGTGACTTCTCTGAGAGGTCTCAACAGAAAATCGAGCGCGTTAAGTATTCTTAAGATGTGATCTACGTAATCAGTAAACCATACATCTCAGGTTTCCGACAAAAGATGACTTCTCGTTAGCTGGGGTTTTTAACGATTTGTTAGCTCTCCTTGATGAGATTTTTTTCGCTCATAGATACACCTTTGTCGTTACAATCGATTGACTTCATTGTTCACGTCTACGAACAGCCTTGATGAAAAGGAGTTAGCGTCAGAACCAACTTTCCTTATCGAATTGGTTACAATAGAAGGAATCGATAAGAACTCTGTTATATCAGTATGATTTGTGCCTTATCGACAAGAGCTGAAAGGATGGATTTTGCTCTTCATACTTTTGGACACCTGCTTCGTGGGCAAATTAGGAAGAGGTGAGGGTGTATGTTCGAGAGATTCCAACGGCATTAGCTACGATTACAATATGATTGGTTCAGAAGAATTCGTATCGCTGTTTCATTTGGTTTAATTGGTTGAGTATCATTCGCAGTTCTTGACATGTTAATATAATATGGTATATGTATAAAGCTTGCAGGCTACTACTCTAAATAAGCAAATGGAGAGCATTTGCGAAGTTCATTCCGTCCTTAGTTGCCTACTTGAACAGGAAAAATGTTTATGACATCTTCTGCTGACAGAGTTCGGATTTTCTCAAGTTTTATAGGCTGAATAACCTCTTGTTTTTTGCAGCTCGTACCGAGAACAATAAGGTGCGTCGTTATCGGATCAAATACCAGGTTTTTTCTCTATTAACTTCTTGGTGATACGTTTTCCTACGAACTTGGTGTTTCAAAAGTTTAAGCTGTAGTGGTGCTCTATTTCTAGATGTGGAATAAAGTGAAGTGTAGAAGTATGTCGTCGCGGTAGGATCTTCCATATTGAGAAACCATCCTTTGGGAAATTAGAGGGTGAACAATGACTAGTATACAGCTGCTACTTTCTTTTTCCGTTTTGAGGATGTTAGTGGGTGTTTAAAAGAAGTTGTTTATTATGCGATTGAAAATTTGCATGTTAAATTTTATCTGCTGAGGTTATAAAAGTGTTCGGCCTAGTAGATTGCATGTCAGCTTGACCATTTCAGGCTCTGAAGAAAGCGAAGCCGCCGAGACGTCACTATTCTGTATTACTAAATGCTTTAGTATCAACCTCGTGTTTATTCGTCAAGAAAGACAGTGATTTGTTGACCACTGCCGAGCTTAAAAGAAAGTCGATCTTGGGATTTCAGCCATTGTTGGACAGTTATTAAGATGACATTACGCTGGTAAAAATTTTTATGCGGGTAACGTTTCGATGTCTTCTTCTTCTTTAGAGCTGGTAATTTGAGTGGATGGTCCACAGTCGTTCATCTTCTCGATGTGGCGTCTTCGTCGGGGTACCGAGACGGATCCTCTTCAGTGGCATCGCTCGAATGAGGCACTCTCACCCGACAGCGCTCTTTTATACGGGACAGTTGTCGTCGATATGACTATTTGTTGATAATAATTTGTTTTCCAACGAATAATCAATCCTGCAGCAGTCGGTATTATTTTAGCTTTAAAATGCAGCGAATACCAAAAGAATTTTTTCAAAGCGGCCGGAATTTAACCTCAGTAGCAATAATCAATACATCCTTGGATTGGTACTGTTAAAATGGATCCTTCTATTTAAAATTTTGCTGTATATATTGCTGGTGACGGAATGACAATCGTACAATGAATCACAAACGATGAAGTGTTGCTATGTTGTCTTGTTGTTGCAAACACTCTTATCTCAAATGAGGAAGATGGCGTCTCAGTGTCGTCTGGACACGAACGTCTGTTCTTTGCTACGTTGACATTCTACTGTCCCACTAACCCTACCTCCTAAAAATCAGTGATAACTAGTGCACTCCGAAATAGCCTTATTGCTTATCAGGCTCTGTATTTCCTTACAAGTTTACTCTCTGTTTGTGAAATGTTCACTTACTTCAATGAAGCGATAACAATCGTGCTTAGTTTCAACACTAACAACGAAATGTCTCGTGCTTCTTCCCCTTCCGGCTTAAATTATCGGAAACTCCTTCAAAATTTCTACTTCGTTTTTATTTTAAGCCAATTTTATTTGAATTTATTCCTAACTAGTTTAGGAAACAAATGATTCCTTCGAAGGCCGTTGTTCTATTTCTAACGTTTATTGTTTCAACCGTTAACCCTGTTACTGTTAAAATCAGTATTGGTAGACTCCGTGGTTATCAATCAGAGGCCAAATCAGGGAAGCTCGTGAACGTGTTTAAGGCAAGCTAATATTTTAGAAAATAACATCAGTAGAAGCTAAGGGGCAAAAATACATTTCTAAGTGAATTGCCCCATTATTCTTACGGATTCCACAATTTTACCATTTTCTGGTGGTTACAGCATCAAACGTTGTTGTTGTTATGTTTACTACCTTAAATACAAATTTATAGAGGATCCCCTATGCGGCTCCACCCGTCAGGGATCTACGTTTCCAGAAACCACGTCCACCGCAGAAATGGGCCGGCATTCGCGATGCAACCGGTACACATTCTTATTCAATATTTGGTGAAAACTAGGAATATTTATCAGTTGATTTAACTATTCATCGAAGAAAAATATCAGGTACTAAGAGGTATTAATAAGTTCAACCGGTGATCAGAAAAACTGCGTTATAAGAAGAAAAACTTACATTGACTAGAAACATTAGGAAAGAGCACACTAATGCATGTGACATCACGTGCTTTCTATCTCACCATCCTGGCTTTTACTAGTAACGATAATTATGAGAATATGGACCGGCCTGTATGTCGAACTCGTCGACGACCACTAGCCCACAGAAATGGATTGACGAGGACTGTCTGCACGTTAACATCTTCGCTGGTGTGGATTGCTTAGTGAGTGTGCCTTCCACTTCTTTCAAAAACGGTTTTTTTTATTACAAAATTCGGACTGTTAACACGTTTTTCTGTCACCAAAAATACTTGATATTTGATATTTGAACGGCCCGTCCCCATTGGTCGTGCCAGCCGCAGCATAATCTCCATTTTTTCGGAGTTTTGCTGGTTAAGCCATTGTGGTTCCGTGAAATCTCGAGGTCAGACTGGTTAAAGTCTGCCCAGGTCTCCACCACCACAAGCAGTCACAGCCCTTGCTGATCAGAGGAGAATTTGCAACCATGCGACTTTGATATCAGGACGGTGGTGGATCCTGGTATTGGTTTACTCTCAGCTAGGCTTCTTGATGGAAAGGCCGGGCTTCTTCTCTGCTTGGGAGACCCTAACAGTGGGATAAATACCTCCGCTATACATCGCAGCCCGCCACCCAGGAACACCTCCCAGCCACGATGAGGCGGTAAACAGTTGGAAGGTCACCGAAGATAAATGAAGGATTTTCAATGAATCGAAAAGAAAATATTCGTTTGGTGAAGCGCATAAGCGATTGTTTGACTAAGTAGTTGTAGCACATCCTTCGTTGTTTGTTCACTTCCGACGGAATAAGGTCGCATTTTAAATCGTATGCAGCCAACAAGGAATCACATTAAGATAAAAAATTGGGGCCATTAAATAACTGAACATTGGGGCGATTAGTTGATTCACAGACTCGCTGGCATCTGACCGTTTTAAAATTTTATGGAAATCCTATTGGGACTACAACAAGCTGCGTGATATTTTTACTTATTTTCTATTTCACATGGACCTTCTTCACATCTACTTTGCCGATAGAACACTTCTTATAATATATTGGAATCACTACCTCTAATTCATCATTAACAAGGATCATCGAAATTTTGCGGCTGAGTTCGGCTGTAGTTTGAGGATTTTCGACTTCGTAATGAATGCCGTTGAATGCAGTTCTGTTCGAATCATCCTGAAATGTCTTGAGATAACGATGATAGAGCGTTTCTGAAAAGACTAGCGGGTTTGAGCAGACCCCAGGCGAGTTTGTACTAATTTCTCGACCATGTCGGAATGGAGACTAGGTGAACTCGTGATGAACAGCATCACTCCCATTGCTTTAGCCTCCTCTAATAACGTCACATTGCGTTTATAAACATTTTACGATTTTATGATAGGACAACGAATTGCGCGGCAGTAGCGACACCTGCCGTTAATTACGCCTATTGTCCAACCTACCCAGGCGCTAGTTCGACCTCGTACTGACCTCGCTAAGCCTTTCGTCTTACTGGAGCCGCAAAACTGGTGCCTGACTTGTCTGGAATATGGTCACTTCCTCTAAACTATGTGAAATTACCTTTGCACGGTAATCTGAAGGCACGAAGAAAATCGGACGCGACCACAATTCAATGACTTTTGTGACGAAGTCGAAAAACTCTTCAAGCAGCGTTCGAAACCGCATGCAGAAAAGTTGAAACATCTTCGTGGACTCGAGAAAACGAATCGAATCCATGAAGTTCTGGGTTATGGCCAGCGTGGTACATGTAGTATGGGGTCACTTAATTGTAAAAAAACAAAATAGATATTATGTCAAGCGACCTTATCAGGTCTATCATTAAGAGCTCATTTAACATGAAACGATTTTTTTAGGAAAAGGCATGTCCTGTCGTGTTTTACATCCACGGTGGCGGCTTCAACTACGACTCAGCAGTCATGTTCAATGATGAATTTCTTATTAATAATTTCGGCGGAAATGGTAGCTTTCATTTGGATATAAGAGATAAGACTGGAGGTTCTCTATCGAATGCTCTTTTTGAAGATGTTGTTCTGGTGATTCCTGGAGTACGACTAGGATTTTTTGGTCTCCTGAATTTTGGCGACGAAGATGTCGTGCCAACGAATATAGCCGCATACGGTATCAATTTTTGTGTGGAAATTACGAATACGTTTCGATATGTTCCAAGCTTAAGCATTCTAATTTTAAACTCTTGTGATCAGCCTAAGTTCTCAGAGTTTCTTTTTATTATCGTAAAATATAGGTTAAAATAAAAAGGCAAAGTTGCTTTAACTGTTGAATGCAGCGATTTTCAGACCTCATAGCCGCGTTGCAGTTTGTGCAAAAAGATATCAAACTTTTCGGTGGAAATCCTGACGACGTCACTTTATTCGGACATTCACAAGGAGCGACGACTGTTGCTCAGTTCATATTCTCAAAGGAAATCGATCCTAGTAGAAAGTACAGTTCTATTTCCTGACAGATAAATGACGGTGTGCATTCTATAGAATCGCACGTGGCTAAAAATTATTACTAACTCGAAATATAAACAGTTATATCTTAATTTTAACCGTTTTATTTGCTGCCTACTCTTTTTTATGGCAGGGCATATTGCGAACTACAACTTCAATGATGCTGAGATATTTAGCGCATCCGTTACCCACCGCAGGTGTCTGCAGTGGGTAACGGATGCGCTATTGTCCTTTCCAGGGAGTAATGCGTTAACTAACACACCATGCGGGTTCGCCTGTCTCTCAGCTAGTTCATATTTCGCAATATTCCCTACCATTAAAAAAGTAGGCAGCAAATAAAACGGTTAAGATTGTGATTATAACTAAAGCCTCAGCTTAACTGAGTTCATTGCCGATTTGGGCTCTCCAGATCAATCTCGCTGACGTGTGATTGCTAATGGCAAAGATTGACAAAATTAGCTGAGAGACAGGCGAAACGAAGGATCCGCATGGTGTGGTGGTGAGCGCGTTACTCCCCGGAAAGGACAATAACGCGTTCGTTTCCCACCATAGACACCTGCGGTCTGGAGTTTTGCAAATATCTCAGCATCATTGAAATTATATCTTAGTTTTTATAAAAGTTTATTAATTAGGACATGAATGACTGGAATCTACGACTTACTTGGATGCTTGAACAGCCGTCTTCACTGGTTGTGCGGGCTCCAGCAAAATCACCATTTTATCGCGGTTTTGCTGGTTTAGCTACTGTGGTTCCTTAGCGTCTTGGGGTCAGCCACGCCAAAGTCTGCCTCAGGTCGTCACCACCACCGACAGTCGTCGCCCTTGTGGATCAAAGGGGGATCTGTCACCGTGCGACTAGTTTGGTACCAGGACTGCGACGGATACTCGTATTCGTTTTCTCTTTGCTGAGATTCCTGATGTAAACCTCGGACTCCTCAGCTTGGGAGATTCTGCAAAGTTGGATGAATCCTACCGCTATACATCGCAGCCCGACACTCAGGAACACCTCCCAGCCACAATGAGTTGGTAGACCGTTGGGATCTACGACTAGAATTGGCAATAAGATACAAGTTTGATTTTGACCTCTTTTTTCAATTTTTTTACTTGAAGGCACCCATTCCACAAACCAAAGCGATTGAAGAGTTGAGAAATTCGAAATCGGTATTTCGAATAAGTACGCACGCCCGAGATGCTTTGTATGGTATGCGTGTGTGTGAGAAAGAACAAAGTGGACAAAGTGCATTGCACTCCATGCATTTCTGTGTACTGATTTATTTTGCTATATTGAACTTTTTACTGCAAGTTAAGTTAAGTAGACAGCTTAATGGACAGTTTAATCCAACGAAGATGTTATGCGTAGCGCGAGATAAGCTGTTCTTTACACTTAACAATTTGAGCCATACAAATTTTAGAGTAGGATGTTGTGTTAAACACAATGTGATCAATATTTTCCAAACCAACCGTCATTTGACCAAGGGAGTAGAATCAAAAGAAAGTAACCTTTCTGGGTTATTAAGCTAACACGAGGCAGTAGGTTCTATTGTTTTGGTCCTGTCGTTTTTCTAGAGAATTTATTTGAAACTGAATCAACAGTTAAGCATTTAGGTGCAATCAGCAAACAATTTGTTGCACTAATGAGTTTGTCGTAATCTTCCTCCAGCTTTGCACAATTTAAAAAGCGTTTCAAAAAATCGAGACTTGATACGATCGTGGAAGTTTCATGTTGTTCCACAAGGGAGTGGTCATGTCGACGACATTCCAAATCGCGAATGAGAGTCTGATGCACAACATCAGCGCAGAGTTCGCATTTCGTGCAAAGGTAGGCTTACAAAAATGAGTAGTAATCAACATTATACAAACACTATTTTAGTTTTCAACTTTATGTATGCTCATACCTCATTGTAAGCTATTTAACTCAGACATGTACTGCTACTGCGTCATGAAACTTACGAAAGCTCAATTTATTCAAAAAACGTTCAACCAGCCAATTTATTTATTAATTGAGGCACGTATAGTACTTCCACCGCGCTCGGGTCCTACCATTTTGTTACACTACCTTGTGTCTTATCTCTCTTGGGACGGGAAATTGGTATCAAACTCTTTTGGGAAAAGCTCCAGCCATCCCACAAAGGCGCCTTCCTGTGATGAAGGCCTATTAACGCCATAGTAGAGCAATCCAAAGACTCCAGGAAAATCAACCTAACCTGCTGTCAATGAAGAAGAGTCTTAACTCACAAAGAAGGTAAAATCCTCAGGCTTTAATGATGACGGCTGCAACACAGCGGATCGAATGGTATACAGAAAAAGGTTCTTACTGAACATTTAGTAGGCCTGAAAATGAAGTAACAGTTTGTGCTTGTGTTCCTTTCTCTTAAGCATCGTCAACAGAAGTCTTTTTTAGTTTTCTCTTTTAGTGTTGGCCGGACAGAGATGTTCGCAGCAGATCTAAGTCTTTCACTGAAGGTGTTGTGAATTGCCTTCGCCAAGTGGACGCGTTCGAATTACTGAGGTACGCTTGACGATTTTTGGCTGTTTTTTAACTGACCACTAACTCGGGTCGTCGGATCTAATGGAGACGAAGACGTCGAAACGCTAACTGGTTAAAACTTATTATGAACTTCGTATAAGCTCTCCAGTTTAAACACGTGTTGATCATTTTCAGCTCCATCTCCTTTCTTTTTTATGGTTTTTTAACGATTATTTCTTATATTAAAGAGTTCAACGAGAAATGGAGGATGACGATTGCCGTCGTCGTCCTAGTGGACTCGCAATGAGCAGTCCGCTTTTCAAAGGATCCAATCTACAAAGCTTTTTGCGCGATCCACCACATCGCCCTCTCCTCGCTGGGACTACATCTCGGGAATTTGACGGAGAACGCAATGGCGATTGGTTAAGCTCCATCACCGATTTTTTGGGAATCAAAAATAAAGATGAGATTCTGAAGCAATATCGAAAGGACGACCTTTCTGGAAAGATCCGTTAGTTTAATCTTCAGTAGTTTTAAATTTGTCTTGTTCTTTTTTGTTTCCTTATTGTATATTTATTGCAAGCGAATCCAACTTGAAACAGTTTTAGTTTACTCGTTTTATTGGCAACTTCTATATAGAACTGCCAATTCTGAATTCTGGTTCCAATTATGGAAAAACATTTCGGGAGTGTTATGGAGATTCTTGACGGAACGGACAGCGCAATGACAGAAATGCTGTTCATCATGACTACGCTACTGGTTTGACCTCACCAAGCTTCTCGTCCATTCGGAGTTGGGAAATTGATAGCAGGCTTGTCTGCGAAAGTTTCATTCTGTGCGATCTAGGTGGGAACGCTCTGGCTCGGCTATCTCAATACTTCAGAAAAACCAACTCAATAAGCATTTCGAGGAGTTCGTGAAGAAGATGACAACCCTCATGCAGTTTCCGAACCTTGTGACTTGTATCACCTGTAGTCCCGTTGATCGTCGAGTGACTCGAACGGGTGCCAATAAATCTTCCATTTTACCCTGTCGCGTACAAGAGTAGCCCAGTGGGATTTGCTCGCTCAAGAGACTCTTCGAGCATCATATTTTCCTTCGAGGCTCTTTGTGAAGAACTTTGACCATCGAGTCGGTGGCCTTCCTGCAGTAATTTTAACATCTCAAGGAATCCAGTCACTAACGGCTCTTGTCTATCGGTTGTCATACATACGCATTACGTGTCCGGCCCACCTTATCTTCGACTGTTTAGCGTACAGAACGGCATCTTTCATTTTTGGTCGTTGACGAATATCGGAGCATCGGATCCACACTTGTGAAAAAGGGGATACTCCTAGCATCGTCCTTTCGACTGCGCGTTCGGTAACACTAAGTGAACTTTCATACTGCTTACGCAGCGACCAGGTTTCTGACGCATACGTTAGGCTAGGAAGCACCGTTGAGTCGAAAAGGTGGGGACCGGAGTCGGGTGTGTGTTCTTTGTTCTTCACTGCATCCTCGATGCTCATGAAAGCTCTCCAACCCGCTCGTTTTCTTCTGCTCAGCTCTGGAGCTAGGTCGTTCAACATATTGATTTCCCGACCTAGATAGATATAACTTGAGCATTCGGAGATATTCGTTCCGTTGAGGGTGAATGAGGCATGCGAAACCGATCCGTTCTTCATGAACATCGTTTTTGTGAGATTTAGTCGAAAAGCAATCTTTCCACAGGATTTAGCTAATATTTGGTGTTATAACGACGAAATTATCAGCAAAGCGAAGATGGTGTAACTGCCGACCGTCGATTTTCACTCCCATATTATCCTACTCCAATGTTCGTATGACGTTCTGGAGAATGGCGATAAATAATTTTGGAGAGATGTATTGCTTTTCCTAATTCCTCCTTTGACGTCAATGTTAATATCGTTGTAGAATGGTGATGTCTTAGTTGTGAAATTTTTGTACAGCTCACGAAGAATCTTTATGCATTGAGTAGGGACTCCTTGACTTTCAAGGGCTTCCAAGACTGCTTCTATCTTAACTGAATCAAAGGCCTTCTGCAAATCGGTGAAAGTGAGACAGAGCGGTCTTTTTTTACTCTCGCGACACTTCAGTGAGCCTTGTTATCGTGTGGATGTGGCCCGTCGTACTAAATCCTTTTCGAAATACAGCTTGCTCACACGGCTTTCCTTCGTCTAGTGTTCTGTTAATTCTGTTTAAGATGACTCGAGTGAAAAGTTTGAAGACGAGAGACAGCAAGCAGATTGGGCGATAGTTGCCGATATCGTGTGGGTCACCTTTCTTGAACAATAACACCGTCTTGCTGGTCTTCCACTGAGTAGGGAATTTGCCCTCAGACAGGTAACGTGTGGAGAGCCGAGCAAGTGTGTTTACTAGGCCTGGCAGAAGGCTCCTCAGGTGTTCTGGTCTTATCCTCTCCGGACCTGGTGCTGTTCGATTTTTCACCGACGAAAGGGCATGTCGGATTTCGGAAAGGAGAGCCGGTGGCATAACATATCCATCCTCCTTATGTCATATGACGGAAGGTGGACGTGGCTATCGAAGAGGACCGATAAGTACTCGTGAATGATTTTCTCCATTGCCTTTCTGGACGCTGTAACTGTTCCATCTGGGCGCCGGAGAGCAGTGATTTTGGTCTTGTAATTGGCAAAGCTTCGTTGGCCTTTGCGACTGCTTTTTCCAGCCTTTGCAGCTTCGGCCATTACTACTGCTCTTCTTTCTCTAAGATCTTCTTTTATCGCCTGGTTGCATTGTTTTGCAAGTTCGGACGTTAGTTCGCGGTTGCCTGCAACTCGTGTGATTCCACGCTGGCGTATCAGCTCGAGTGTATCTGGAGATAGACGTCTTTTGGTTACTTTCGAACTCTGAGCTTTCACAGCACTTGCGTGAAACTGTTGAATGAACCGGTCGAATTCTTCGTCGATGTTATCGGCAACGGCCTTTTCCCAACAGCCGACTAATGAATTGAATAAGTCCCAGTTTGCGGTGGTTCTGGAACTTCGGGTTTGGAATATAGCGGCTTTTTCTCCTTTTCGCGAGAAATAGAATCTTGCACGAAGGAGACGATGGTCTGATCCCGTGTGAAATTTTGGAAAAACAGCGACATCGGTTAGGCAAAACCTTCTATTTACTATGATGTGGTCTATTTCGTTATGGTACTCTCCATTGGGAGACTCCCACTTCCAGCCTTGAGGGTGGGGCTTCTGGAATAGCGAGTTACCATGGATTGTATTGGCCGCCATGATAAACTCAGGAAGCCGCTCACCCTGTTCGTTCCATTCTAATCCATGGGTGCCAATGTGAGGTTCTTCAGACGCTCTTCTTGGTCCAATCTTGACGTTGACATCTTCAATGATGACCTTAAAGAATATGTGGTCTTCTCTGTTGAACTTCTCTAAGTCCATATAGAACGGTTCGACTTCTTCTTCGTCATAGTTTGATGTCGGCGCGCAAACGACGAAGGTTGTCAAAGCTGGTATTGATCCGCATCTTTTTAATCGCAAACGACCGATTCGGTTTGTAAGTTGTTCGAATGAATCGATGTTCATATACAAACTCGTGTTGACGGGAACGCCGACGCCGCTGACTCCTCTACTGTCGCATGTTCCAAGGAACAGTTCTTCTCCGGTATCATAGATGGCGTTAAAAGGCTGGCGTCTTCTCATCTCGGCTAGGCCGATGACGTCGTACTTTATCTTTGTTTCTTGTATGAGCAAGTCTTCCATCGAGGACTCGGATGCAAGTGTACGTGCAGGTACAGATCGTCACCAAAGTTCCTTGAAATCCAGGCTACTTCCATTAGCTCTGAGATTTTAGCAGCCTCTCCGTACTCGTGCTGCGAAATTGGGGCTCTTTCGGAGTCAGGGTGATGAGGCCCGCTATTTTTTTACTGTATGTGTTCATTCCATAGTTAGAAATCTTGTTTAGCACATAACGTTTTCCAAATCCTTAAGCTTGTAGCTCACACTGATTTTACGTAAAACATTTAGTTGCTATTGATAAGTAGGAAAATTTTCAGCATTCAATCACAGCGAAGAAACTCAGCAGGCTTTCGTAACGACGTACATCATTGCGCATCAGATGCGAAAAGCTGGTGGAAAGGTAAACGTCAACGAGTTCAGTGAGATTTTAAGCAAAATCGCTTGATGTTTTCGATGGCTTAGACTAGCCTTTCCATTTGCTGGTCAAAATCCACACCGTTGGTGAAATTCTGAAAACGAATGTACGGAAGAGAAAGGCTTTTAATTGTCACAGAAACCATTGGTTTTACTAAGAGACGCAACTATTGAACAAATAGACAGTAACCCAAAAGATCAACTGTTTATAAATCTCGGCATAGATAACCGATTTATCTTTGTCTAAGCTCTTATACCATATATGGTTATGACCATCTCCCATTTGCTCAAGTGCAGTGCGCATGAACACCTATGTATGTATGTATATATATATATTGTAGTAGTAGCATAAAAGTGCATATATATGTATATATATATATATTGTAGTGGCAACACAGATGTATATATACATACATATATACATATATTATATATATATATATATAAATGCACGTATATAGACAGTGCTTTTTTAATCCAAAGCTATTTTTTTTTTCACAGTGTAACGACATCCTGCCCATAGTACAAACCATTGCAGTTAACTACACCCTTGAGTACTCTCTCTTCATGTTTTCACTTCTTCTCGCGTTTCACTCATTTCCTCTCTTGTTCGCAGCATATCAATTTAGCGCTGATGTTTGACTTTTTTGTTTATTGACTTGTTATATTGGACATGAACTGGGCTTACAAATAATGAAATATAAAGCTCTGACAAGGTCGAATGAAAAAATACCGTTAGCTTAAAACAAAACGAAGGAATTTTTTGCGGAATTCAAGGAACAGGTGAGAGAAAATGAGTCATATGAATAGATTAGGCTGAAGGAAAATGTTCAGGTTTACCTCTACTCTTACCGAAATCCTCGTCGCCCCTATCATGTTGATGATCTGTCGTATATCATGGGCATACATCCTTTCGACTATGACGAAAACGACAAAGTACTAGCCGTTGTCTATCCACAATTTTTTATCGACTTCATAAAAACCGCAAAACCTCGTGAGGGTACGTTTCCTTTTTGCTATGGTCTTGTCACGATAAGTGTAGTAACACTTAGTCTGAATTTACAACGTCGCTCAACGACCGTGGAGGAACATTTCTTCGGTATTAAAGTATTTTCTTCAAGATTTTGCCTTTTATTTATTTAGAAATGCGTTCGTTTACTGCTAAATGCTATAGAGCTCGATTAGTTACATGCTTCTTTTCTTAACCACGATCAACGTAATTCACGCTCTCATAATCGGCGGTTTGAGGAAACATACTCATGACTTTATTTGTAAACTGAACGAGCTAGATTTTTTCTTAAAGCTGGATGATGTGGTTGTGTTTTTTGTATTTTATAAGATTTAGACTTTTGACGCCGTGTCAAAATCTTTTGATCATTCTCGGTTTCTCCCCTTGAGTTGTGCTACGGTATCACTAACGTCTTTGAGCAGCCGAGGACAGAGTATCGCGGTCTCATATTCAATCGACGAAGTACCTAGCATGCTTGTCTAGCCGAAGAAGTGAAAAAATCTCACAACTCCACATTTCCATGTTATCTAAAGCAGCTAGATTTGTCAGTTTGTGGAGCTAATGCGGGGTAGTTAATAGTGCCTCATGAAAGACTTCACTGAGCACTCCGTGACCTTTAGGCGGAAGACGTGGCTTCCTCTTCCCCTTAAGTGCTTGCATCCTAGCAACTGCTTTTTTTGTGGTAAAAATCTACTTTTACTTCTAATTCTAATTTTTTTTGCTGAACTTTTTACGTTCCATTAATAATAGCTTCACTAGGGAGTGAATTTTTTATACAGTGAAGTTGTCTAGTAAATACAAAGTAGCAGTGGTCATTCTTTTCTTAATGTTTTGCAAATGATGTTCTAGATGATGTTAGACTATGATGAGAACCAGAAGCAGTGTCGGCCAACAACCACGAGTGTTGTGAGCATTCCCAGATGCCAAATTTCCAATGTTCAAATACAAAGAGTTATTTAACAATTCCTATACTCATGAGACATTCCTATGAAAGTGCAACCACAGTTTTCATGTGCATCTGTGCATGAGTCTTGATGTTTGCGTTGCATACTTATTTCACATCTGCGCATTTCGTTGTACATCATCGGAACGCTTACGAATTTAGCAAAAGGAGATGTCTACTACCTCTCTGACATAAGCGCAATTAGAAAGAATTCAGAACCAAGCAATCCTTCGTGGTCCGAAAAGCAACGCAGCGGAAGCTCGGTTCGAAGCACCTCAGGATACAGTAGAGGGCCTTATTGTTTTCTAAATGGCAGCCACTAGGCTAAACAGGTATGGTTCACAGGGGTTAGCTGGCTTTCACCTCCGTCTATAAAGTTGGCCATATAGTTTTCTATAATGGAACATAAAGGAAGAGGAAATCAGAAGCTTGTGTGTACTGTCTCACTGAATTAGTGAAGTCTCACTCGGAAAATGCAGTGTCCATGCCTTCACGAATTGGTCACTGATAATTTCCTTGTGGTGACGAGACTAGGCTGTGATTTGATGGTGGATTAAGCGTCATCGTTGAATTACGGTCCAGGTTTCGTTTTCGTTTTATCTTCGCATGGGTTGCCGAGTCGATGAAAGTGCTTAGATGAGCTGGCCACCATGGAATTATGAATGGCATGAATTTTGGAGCAAATACGTGTATGCAAGTCGACATAGCATTCTGCTGGAATAGGACCTCATGGTGTTTATTAGGTTAAACAGTCAGCTGATTAATGGGCTTCGATTTTTATAACGAACATCTTTTATGTCATACATTAGGAACCTTTAAAATTATACGTCCACTTAATAGTGGATGTGTCGTGAAGGATTTTAACCAACCTAACGGAATCACATGGTACCTTTTTAAACTATATCAGTGCTAAAAAAGTGATTTTTTTTTTGTGTTGCCTTATAATTTATAGGGAGCGACTTCGACGAATGTCTCGTATTCTTAGATTGGACTCCTCTTCAAGCTGAGCTCGACAACTACATGTACATAGACGTTGACGTCAAAAATCATTCAATGCCGCATATGGAGAACTACTACGAACACGATGTTATCAACTACTGGAAGAGTCTTGTGGAACTCGATAAGAAACTATCTGGGAAAAATCAAACGGTTAGCAACTACTACTAAGCTAGTAAAGAATGTAAGACACCAAAAATGAACTCAGAACTTCTTAGCAAACTATAGATGGGCAATGCAGAAGGTTTCCAGTTTTCAAAATGGGTTATATTGGTTTAAGCTCTGTCTCGCACTACCATCTTTGATATTACTGCTAAGGATTTCTGGAAATGTACCAATATGACTCCTTCATCTGCCAGTAGCTTAGTGTTTAGGGGTGCCGTGCGCAGTGCAATGTTTCCGGTTCGATCCATCGCCTCGAACAACAACGCTCTCCACCCTTCCGAGTATCGCTAAATACGAATCAAACTTATCTGCGAAAATAAAATCACTGACTTTACACATTTGTATGCCCAGAAAGTCATTGTAAAAGCCAGATGCACCTTCACTTAATATAATATATGTATTGATAGACGCCGAACACACTGTCCTTCATCATTAAATCCTTTAGGCGCAAATAACCCAAAAATTTCCTGCATTTAATCCTCATGAGTGAAAGAATAGGACGTGTTCCATCGCTGCGGTTGGGAATATCAATAGAGGGGAGGTTAACTCAATAAACGCATTATTCAAGAGAATAAAACTCGAAAGTCCACTAAATTGACAACGTTTCCGTAATTCTTCTGCTAGGTATTAGTAAAATTTAAAAAATTATTGAAATAAGAATAAAATACAAAAAAGATAAAAAAGATAGAGGTCTCGGGGTTGATCAATCCCTGAGGGATGCACCACGCATTCGACTTCACTAAGCATAGTTTAGAGATGATTAAATGCATATCTGGTCTTCACAATGACTCGTGGTGGCCTAGCGATGTATCGAGCCAGTGCTGCTATCCTCCCAGATAAGTCTGGTACCAATTTGTTGAACCGGAGGAATGGAAGGCTTGGTGAGCCATAGGCGCGGAGATCGGTTTCATGTGCATTGCAGTGCGCCTCCGGCCACTGCTCCACACGCGTCCTTTGAGATGAGGAAGTAGTGAGATATAGCTGGCAAGGTGCTTTCAGAAATCGTTTACACATACAATAGAACAACAAACTTTCATTGAAACCAGCTAGAGAATAATAGTTTCTGCAAGTTGCAAATTTTCATCTCTACCAACCTAATTCGATCTAAAGAAACGATGGTGAAAAGAGGTCGCTTTCCATATTTTCCCTTTTTCTTTTATAATGGACGTTAAGCAAAAAGGTAGGCTTCTTTCTGGTATTCATTTATGTTCCATAGATGGAATCTGTCACCACTCTCCTTTCCATAAGAATGAGCGTTGATCCGCGACAGCTATTCTTGTGAGGATCGACTCCATCAACATTCGACGGAATTCATGAAGGAATTGAAAGATCTTCAAGTAGCAGGCTAACATGAATGCAAAATCAGAAAACCCTCTTGGATGATTGATGAGAAAAACGAATCGAATATGAAAAGTTCTGGGATTCTCACAATGTGTGATAATGAGTTATGCTGACTAAAAAGAATAAAAATGCTCCACCTCATTGCCGATGAAATCTAATTTTAAAAATGGTGTGTAGAACGTGATTCTTTCTCCTAGCATGGTCACAAAGGTCTAAAAATCAGTTCAGCTAGTGAGTTTATTCTATGGCGGTCCTCAATGAGCTCTCAATGACTGCAATCTAGCCAAAAACAGAAATGTGGAGCTCTATATCAGAACTGTGATGACCTTCGTGTTTCTCGAGCAGGTGGAGCTCACTGGAATGCAATGGTGCCTAATGCGGGCGAATAGAACACAGTGCCCGAGGTAATCGATGATTCACGGAATTGTGGATCTAGGTGATGAGGTACAACGTCGTCTACCACCCTGTTAAATGAGTGTTCGTAACCTCCCGCCCCATAGAACCATAACATTTTTTCCTGTTGGTAGTTTTTGTGAATAATAGTATTATTTGAAATATCGCTGGCTTCATTTTAACTTATTATTTGCTGCCTACTCTTTTTTAATGGCAGGGTATATTGCGAAATATAACTTCAATGATGCTGAGATATTTGCAAAACTCCGGACCGCAGGTGTATGCGGTGGGGAACGAACGCGCTATTGTCCTTTCCTGGGAGTAACGCATTCACTACCACACCATGTGAGTCCTTCGTTTCGCCTGTCTCTCAGCTAGTTCTATTGGACTTTACCTACTTCTATCGATCTATAGATTTGCAAATATCTCAGCATCATTGAAGTGCTGGCTTATTTTAGAAGCGTCAATTTATCAAACACATGTTTAAAAATACATTGTTTTCGTATATACGCCTCAAAAATTCCACCCGTATTTTAATAAAAGGCTGTCTTTTCGAAGAACACTACTGCGTTCAGGTTGCGGTCCAACGAGCGTTCAACACTTCGGTTACGAGTGCTTCCGACTTCGATCTCCTTCTAGCAGCTCTATCTATAGCAGCTGTTGTTACGGTAATCCTTATGACTGCTTGCACGGTGCGACAACGAAGCCAACAAAGGCGCAATAGATATGTCATCTATAATAACGAAAAGACGCCTCTTCTTTTCTGAGTAGTTGAATTTCTTGGTAAATTTTCTTTGTCATAGCGCGTTTCACTAATAGTTAAATATTGTGAGCATATTTGACACAGTTTATATTAACTCGCAAGAAATTCCATTACTGTTTCATTACATTCATACTCGCTAGCGTGACCATATGTTTCTCTGGAATATTTTTATTCCCTGGAATAAAATTTTGATACACAACAAAAGGAGAGAAAATATTTCAATCTAAAGGCAAGACAGGTGAAGGGTTCCTAAGGTGAGGAATGAAACCTTCGTTTCATTGGAGATTATACTGTAGTAGCTATATTGAAAAATGTGAGTGAATACCTGATGTTGAACTGTAAACTTTCATACTATAATGCTGAGATATTTGCAAAACTCCGGAGCGCAGATGTCTGCGGTGGGGAACGAACGTGCTATTGTCCTTTCCGGGGAGTAACGCGTTCACCACCGCACTATCTGGGGTCCATCCGGTTATATTTCGCAAAATACTCTGCCGTTAAAAAGAATAGGCAGTAAATAAAAAGGAAAGGATTGTGATTATAACTATATCCTCAGCTTAACTAGGTTCAATGCGATGTGGGCTCCCCAGATCAATCCCGCTGACGAGTGATTGCTAATGGCAAGGATCGATAGAACTAGCTGAGAGACAGGCGAAACGAAGGACCCGGATGGTGTGGTGGTGAACGCGTCACTCCCCGGAAAAGACAATAACGCGTTCGTTCCCCACCGCAGACATCTGCTTTCCAGAGTTTTGCAAATATCTCAGCATTATAGTAGTTATATTTCGCAAAATACCCTGCCGTTAAAAAGAATAGGCAGTAAATGAAAAGGTTAAGATTGTAAACTTTCACTTCAGATTCCAGTTAGCGTTCTCTCCCTCAGCAGTCATCAATTAGCACATCTTGAAGATTGGTCGTTCTTGAATGTCTTCTATGAGGCAATCCGTAGTTTTCAGAGGCCTCTTACCTCTACTCGTTGCGTCGCCAATGACGACAGTCCAAAATGTGCCCAGTGGTGTGTACGTGGAGAAGGTTACAAAAAACAGATCGAAAAATTTCAAAGATTCACCGATTCACCTCATGAGTTATTTCTTTATGCGACCCTACTTGACATTCTCTACTCAACCCAATGCATCTTTCACTCGATCCGCGTTCATGCACCAATCGGGGGTCTTCCGACTTGCTTCTCGGTTTGTCTGCCTCTTGAGATGTTTGGGTTCTTCACGAATGCCGTTGCATTCTTGTCGAGTTGATCCTTCTATTTATGATTGGGACAGAGCTTCTCTCAGATTGCTTTCGTGCAATTTCCTGCTCCACAGAGTTCGTAGGTTTGATATAGCCGCAGCAAGGTCGACCTACGTTATGCTTGTCGTTTATAGCCACTGCTTATCCCGCGCTCATAATCCATGATCTCTGCTTCAATTATTAATAAATCAAAATAACTCTAAGGACCTAATTTTTTGCTTTTCTTCAAAAAGTAGACACGAGGTTGATATTATAGAATTTATTAGCATACAATAGCTAACATCTCGGCAGTTTCGCCTTTTTCAGAGCTTGGAAAGGTTAAGTTGAGATGCGATCTACTCAGCCAAACACTTTCATAACCCTAGCGGATAAGATTTAAGTCAGAATCATCAAGTTCAATTTGTTCGTCTTTGCACTGTTAGTTTTTCACCAACTGGGTTTTCGTCCTATTTATGCGCTGTCCAATCTTTTTCACGCTTCGTAGAGCTTATTGAGCATCGTCCTTGCTTCACAGGTACTCCTCGAAAACATAACGATGTCGTCCGCGAAATGAAGATTTGGTAGAAATACTGCATTACTACGTATGCTGTTCTTGTGCCAATCCAGCGACTTCATTATCCACGGCAAGTAACCAGCTTTTGCGATGTTGTCTTGCCTTGTCAAACATCCGTTTCCTATAGCAACTCGAGCTTGAGAGTGTGGAGCCCTGGGCAGCTTTTCACCATGGATATTTCGGAATCCGGAACGGGTGTTATGGAGCGGAAAGGGAAAAGGTTGATATAGAACCTTTCCGTTATAGATTCCATATCGCTGCAAGATGAAGTGGTAGTCCTATCTTTGAAGTCCTAAAGTCAATATCCTTGCACAGGAGTCCAAAACACCAGCGCGAAAACTCCTTGAGGCTTTTTGGATTAATACCAAGAACCCTACAATGAATAGCAGGGACGAATGCCCGGAGGTCATACGCGACCTGATCCCGTACGTTCGCATCGATTTTTGATGTGGGATGGCGCAGTCGTCAACCACATGCGACTATAATCAGCTGTTCTAAACTTCCTCATTGGAAGTCACGAAAAAGCGGTGGCTTTTTCGAAAAGTTGTTGATCATGTAATTACCAAAGAGTCTTTCGTCTTTTTGTAAGTGTTATTGAAGCGTTTGGCCTAGTAGATTGCATATCAGCATACCCTTCCAGGCTCTGAAGAAGGCGATACTGCCGAAACGTCAGCTAGCGTTGTATTGTACTGTGTTTTTCTACGGAAGTAAATGTATGCTGTTTAAAAACCTCGCGATTGCTGAACAAGAAAACGACACATTCATATTCCAATGCCGAGGTTAAGAGAAAGTCGATCCTGAGTCCTATCTTTGTTCATGAAGGCGGGTAGCGGAGCATGATACTCACAGCGATCCCGATGGCACTCCTCCATACTGAATCGTTTTTGAGTCATTTCGAACTTTTTTTCTCGCGCCGATTCGCATCCTCTTGCAAAAATCCTCTACAGCTGCCATTTAAAAATAAGTTTTGTTAGGCGTGTTACAATGGGATGATGTGGCAGTCTAACTAACATTTTGAGCTTCACACTCATTAGTGGTAATGGTGGTGCGGCCTGAACATATTGCTTGAGGAATTAAGACGAGGTCAGCGCAAGTTTTAAGTCCTTCGAGCAGCAGGTTGTACTCCTCGTTGGGATCTTTAACCCTTGTCATACACGACCTATTTCGTTTTTCTTGGACGATAACTGGAGTTTTCTTCCAACTTAGCTAAATCGGATATTCACACGGAGTAAAGGCTGGCCAGGTCCAGTGCGGAATCCACTGAGTGGTCGAAAAGGCACCATTTTCTGTTCGTGAAAATATGGTTGATCTCCGTATCAGTCGTGATCGTTAGAAAACTCCTATGTCCATCGGCGACCTTCTCTTTTTTCGAAAAGCGAATTCCATGGAAGAGACATGCTGCGTCCTACAAAATGGTTTTTGTTCACATATCGCTCTTCTATTCTGAGTTTCCCTATACTTACATGGATACTTGGACGGTCCGTCTGCACGAGCTGTGTGGACCCCAGCACATATGCCATTCGTTCCTTTCTTTTGCAATCGTAGCCTATGGTGGCGGTCTTGTTCGAGCATGGTAGCGCTTGCGAGTCTCATACCGTGATCTGTAAAATAACTGCTGCTGCCGGTACAGCTGACTAACTTTGTTTACGAACACGTCCGCCCAACGTGTGGGCGGTCGTCCAAGGGGATGTTTACATTCTCTTGGAGTCCACTCTACTGTTCTTTTCGTCCATCTGTCGTCTGTTCTTCTTATTATGTGACCAGCCCATCTACGTTTGATCGTCAATATATATTCTCCTGGATCTCGAAGATGTGACAAATTTTGAAGATCAGAGCTTCGCATGCGGCTACATATTGAGAGTGCCGGTTATATTTCAGAAGACATAGCTCAAGCGCTCTGTGAGTAGTTTGAAGCATTCTTGACGTAGTTGAAGTATCAACCCACGTCTCTGCAGCATAAAAGAGCACTGGGAAGACCGTAGAATCAAAGAGATAAGGGCGGATTTTCGTGTTGTCCAGTTGGTCGGTGGCTTCTCTGAGAGGACTGAATTCGACCCAAGCTGCTCTCCTTCTTCTATCTAGTTTCTTCTTCATGTTGTTTTCCATGTTCATTGGTCGCCCAAGGTAAGCGTACGAGGTGGCCTCTGCAATGGGAGAGCCCTCCAATTCAATTTTTTCGCCTTCGCACCATGAATTTTTCATGAACTGGGTATTCTTTCGATTTATGCGAAGTACGATCTTTTTCCCCGCTTCGTTGAGCTCGTTGATCATCACCTCTGCTTCGCTAGTACTTCTTGAGAAGGTGACAATGTCGTCGGCAAAACGAAAGTTTGTTAGGAACTTTCCACCAATACGTATGCCTTTCTCGTTCCAATCGAATAACTTCATTATCCACTGCAGTGCGGCACTGAATAGCTTTGGCGATATTGTGTCGCCCTGTCAAATTCTTTTTCCTATGGATATTGTAATAGGTCGATGGAAAAGCTGTATTTCCGTAGTGCAGTTCCGATAACAGTCGGACAGAGTCCTTATGTAGCACGGGACCACTCCTTGGTCGACGAGCGCTGATAGGATTTCATTCGTTTCGACACTGTCAAACGCTCTATCATACTCGACAAAGGTTAGGACTAGAGGCAAGTGCTATTTCCGACAAGCTTCGATGACCCTGGACACAGTTTGGATGTGATCCATGCAGCAAAATCCTTTTCGAAATCCTGCCTGGTCGACTGTGCCTTGTTTCATGCTTTCTATCGCAACTCGAACCTCAGACGGAAGAATTCCAGGTCGTTTTTTTCCAGCGGGTATATTAGGGCCCGAGACGGGGTTTGTGGAACGGAAAATGTTGGTGTAGGACGTTCCCGCTATTAATTCCATATCATGGCGGGAAATTTTGATGATCTCATTTTCGTTCATCAGGGCTGACAGCGGAACACTATAATCACAAAAGTCTCGACGGCATTTTTTCAGACTGCTTCTTTTCTCCGCTGCTTCCAGTATTTTATTCTGCTTGCACCGTTGTAGATCTTCCTGCATAACTCTTCTGCAGCTCGCATTTATTACTAGCCATGTTAAACGTGTTGTCGTAGGACCAAGCTTCAGTTTGCTTCTCTTTTCGAGCAACTCCTTAGTAGTGATGAAGATGCGATCCGATCTTCTTGCTTGAGGAACTGAGGCAAATTCAGCACAGCTTTTCAGTCCTTCGACAAGCAGCTCGTAGTCATTCATCTGCCAGTCACGTTTGGACAAGTCTTCGTTCAGAATGTTTTCGTCGTATACGGCCAGATTTTTTCCTCGTCGTCGATGGAGAGAGTTCTTTTCCAGCTTGCGGATGAGTCGAATCTTCGCGCGAAGAAGGTGGTGATAGGAACCAGTGACGGGACTACCGATGTGTCAAGTTGACACCATGTTCCGTTTGTCAGAATATGGTCGATTTCCGCATGAGTCATGCCGTTGGGAAACTCCCATGTCCAGCGGCGACTTTCTTTCTTCTGGAAAAACGAGTTTCCATGAAAGAGACGTGCTGTTGATAGGAGTCCTGCGAGACGGTTCCCATTCCCACTTTTTTCTCCTAGTCCAAAATTTCCGATTTTGTATTCGCTCTCGTTGGCCTTTCCTATTCTGGCGTTGAAGTCTCCAACAATAAATTTATAATACGCTTTATCATTGCTGATGACTTTCTCCAACTGATAGTAGAACGCATTTAATTCGTACTTATCAGCTGCGTTGGTGGGTGAGTTGCAGTTGTTGATAGTGATCTTCTTGTGATGCGACAGTTGAAGACGGAGGACGGCTATGCGAGGGGAAAGGATCTCGTATGAGTCGACGACATGGACAATGGAAGGGTGGACAACAAGGCTTACGCCACCAACATTTCGTGACGGGACCTTTTTCCACGGATCACAATGGTCCCGTTGTTTAGTTGGCGTGTGTCGGTCTTCTTAATTTTTGTTTCTTGTAATGCGATCACATGAAATTTAATGCGAACTGCGGCTACAAGAAGGGAGTGAAGATCGGCGTCTGTGGAGAGTGTTCTGGCATTATACGTGCATAGTAAGAAACAATCTCCATGGCGTGTTGTGCGTGTGTTCGTCAGATCCGGTTCCAATGACGTGCTGCGTAACCCGAATTCTGGCCTTTCACTGGTCGTCCCACCGCCTGACGTCATAGACGGGAGCACTCAATGTGCGGGGTACTGAGGCTGGCGTATTGCTGGTCGTACAACTTAGTACTTCCCGAAGTCTTAACGTGAACTTGCAGGGGCGTATCCAGGTCTTTACCACGGTGTGGATCAGAGAGAGGTGCATTTTCGGCGATGAATCCTTCGCTCGGTCTTTCTACTAGTTGATTCGAAGACGTTTTAAAACCGAAATCAGAAACGAAAGTAGAGCTGTAAAAGGGACCGACCGCTCAAGGAATCTCTCAAACTTTGGTAATTAAACCTTTTTTCTTTTCTGTGAGTTTTGCTATCTTGTATTCAATTCCGTTTTCCGCTTCCAATCAAGCGTAGAGTTGTCCAAGAAAAACTCATCGAAGCACTTCTAGTTGTGGATTACTTCGTCCAACTGCTTGTCAAACGCGTCCACTTCGCTCTCATCATCTTAATAACTTGGTGAGTAACAGTTAATTACACTCACTTTATACGGACATTGGAAACAGAGAACGCCCCGCGCAGTGATACGCAGTATGCGGTGACTAGATGGAAAACGGATGAGTTTACGACAAAGTCAACGCCTCAGACATTTCGCAATAGAAGCTACCCTCCACAAATGACAAGGGTCTCTCTAATGGCTATGCCGGTTTTCCGTTTTTCGTCTTCTGCTGTTCGATTACAAGGAATTTGATGTGATCGGTGGCCTAAGAAGTCCGTAAACGTCAGCGACTGAAGAGACTGTTCTGGTGTTATAGGTGCACAGTTGAAAGCAGTCTCCGTGGTGTTTCGTGGGCGTTCTCGTTCTGTCCATTTCCATTGACGCCCTGAGCAAATCGACATTTGATCACTTTTCACCGATTGTCAAGCCACATGACGGCGTATTAGGGAGTGAACAGTGTGCGGTGTACTGAGGCCGGTGTTTTACTGGTTAGCTATCGTAGTTATCTAGAGTCTCGAGGTCGGCCGGGCCGAAGCCTTCCACAGGTCGTCACCACCCCACGCAGTCGCCGCTCTTGTGGATCTGATGGGGATTTGCCACCAAATGACTAAACGTTTGATACCAGAAAGGTAGTGATTAGTGGTATTGGTTTACTCAGAGCTCGGCTTCCGAATGGAAATTTTGGATTCCCTCTCAGCTTGGGAGACCCTGCTGACAGAATGAACCTCCCACTGTAAATCGTAGGCTGACATCAAGAAACACCTCCCATCCACGATGAGGTGGTAAACCGTTAGAAGGACCTCGGCCTTAACCAACTTATACTGTCTCACGAACTCTCTTTTTTAAGCTGGCATAAGGTGATTAACACGGATTTTGTTGTTCGATGGCTAACGTCTTAAAGACTTCTCCTTCCTAAGAATCTAGACGTGTCCTATTACAGAATTAATAAAAATATTGTGTAGAAGCACTTTGTTGAAGTTTTTGCCTCTTTTGTTCTTAAATAGTGAGCTGAGCTTCACTCAGAGATTAATTAGAGAGAAGCTGCTAAGCGACGCATTACGGTGAGGCATTCGTCTTTTTCATGTGTTTTTGGATTTCTAAAGTTTAACCAAAATCCCTCAAGAGTTTTGCCCGTTGATGTATTTGATTTCTGGCAGTGGTCGTGATTACCACTGAAAAATCGTAGCCTATGGGAAATACAACCATAGGAATGTTGAGATATGAACAAGATTCGCAACCGCTGCTGGGTTTAGAACCCAGGATTATATAGTCACGGGTTCGAAACCCTCCTGACGCTCGTAGTTTCGCTTATATCTTAGCATCATTCTGGTTATATTTCACAGCACATCGTGCCATGAAAAAGAATAGGCAAAAAATGAAAAGTGAAAACATTGTAACTACAACTATTATTTGTATTTCGCTTAGTACCCTGCCGCGAAATTATAGTAGGCAGAAAATAAAAAGGTATAACATTGTGATTTCAACTACAGCCGCAGCTTAACTGGGTTCTATGCCGATTTTGGCGCACCAGATCAATCCCGCTGACGGGTGATTGCTGTGGCAAAGATCGATAGAAATAGCTGAGAGACAGGCGAAACAAAGGACCCGCATGGTGTGGTGGTGAACGCGTTACTCCCCGGAAAGGACAATAGCGCGTTCGTTCCCCACCATAAACACTTGCGGTCCAGAGTTTTGCAAATATCTCAGCAACGTTGTGGTTGTATTTCGCTTGGTACCCTGCCGCGAAATTATAGTAGGCAGAAAATAAAAAGGTATAACATTACAACTATTATGTTTTTCTTACACGTGCACTCACAGTCGAGGCTACCATGGCTTTGTACCAGAGGCCACAAATCTATCCCAAATGCAATTTCGTGCGAAATTTTACGAAATTCGTAGGAAAAAACGTTGTAGTCCGGAGTGTAACCTGTTACGTAAAAGATAGACAGGAAATAAAAATTCAAATACCATCTTTGTGCTTTCGTGCCCGATGTGCGTCTAGAGGAGTACTTTGTCGGATTTTAAGACTTCTGTCCTTCGAAATTGCAAAATGTAATCTTCTTCAATGGCAGAGGGACGACAAAAACAACCCTAACTTTGATTGCCATAGACTTCGGTGAAACTTCTTGGTTCTTCCAACACTGTTGTGCTATTCTTTGAAAACTTTTGATTCGTTGTGTGGTAGCCAGTATGATGTTGGCTGCTTCAAGGTGAAATGCCCGGTCAAAGTAGGTCATATTCGAGAAGGGAATCGATTGACATCCTGCATAAAAGCGGACAACTGAATAAGGTCAACCATTCGAATGGTGCTTCCTTCACCGGATTCGAGTCGATTAACCAGTTGTGGGCCAACGACACCGATCAAAGCGGCTCTCTGGAAGTCAAAGATGCCGAAATCTTGATCGAATAAATTCGTTTATCACCTTGTGTTTGCTTAAAAGTCGAAGAAGGTAATATTCTGTCGGTTTATGGGGTTTCCATCTCTGTCGGTTATATGACCTGACATCCAATTCTGATACTTCTACAGATTAAGGTTATCTGCTAATTAAACGTTCAAATTCTATCAAATAAACGACTTTTCAGTAAAATTATGGATGTTCCGCTAAACAAATTAGATCAGAATCAGCCCTCGCTACATGGATCAAGATGAATCCCTAGGCTTTCTTCTGACTATGGCGTTAATTAACCAATCTTGATAATGTGGAAGGCATAACTTCCTCTGTGGAACTTTATCATGTTTACATCAAACATCTCGTTATCAGAGATATATCTCTATGACGTTTCGAAATGGATGAAGGAAATTGCTAATATCTGTGCAACTCTACATTTTTGCAATGATGAATGTCATTCGGGTTGTTATTAATAGATTATAAAGGAATCGATCCCGAGTTGACAACAACACAATCTACAAGCTCTCTAAACTTCTTTATCATCGTATATTTTAAGAAACAATGTTCGCACAGCTTTATAGGTATCGTTTTACAAGCTGTACATTAGATATTAGTGAGTTTAACGATAAGTTACTAATAGGAAAGTTGCACTTCAAAGTGAGTGATCTGTAATCGGTTAGTTGGTAGGCCGGACAACACGCCCCCGTTTAACAGAACGCAAAATATCAACGGCCACATGTTGGTCTAGAAATGCAGATGGATGCAGGGGATGATGCCCCTTTCTCTTCAGTGCCGCATTATCATTGCCACATTCACATGCGAGTGCAGATATGTCTAAATGCAAAATGTATTGTAAGCGCATTTAGATTTTCAGAAATTCTGCAATCTGGTGCTGTAAAATTCATACTAAATGTTCTTGAACACATTGCTGTGCTGAGATATTTGCAAAACTCCAGACCACAGGTGTTTGCGGTGCGGAACGAACGCGTCATTGCCCTTTCCGGGGTGTAACGCGTTCACCACCACACCATTCGGGTCCTTCTTCTTTATTGATAGAAACGGCTTTCGGTCGTTCCCCACAGCAAGCACCTGTGGTCTGAAGTTTTGCAAATATCTCAGCATCATTGAAATTATATTCCGCAATATACCTCGCCAATAAAAAAAAGAGTAGGCAGTAAATAATAACTTAAAATTGTGATTATAACTACAGCGTCAGCTTAACTGGGTTCATTGCCGATTTGCGCTCCCCAGATCAGTCCCGCTGACGGGTGATTGCTGTTGGCACTGATCGGTGGAACTACCTGAGACACAGGCAAAACGAAAGACCCGCATTGCGTGGTGGTGAACGCGTTAAGCCCTGGACAGGGTATAATAGCACGTTCGTTCCCCATCTCAAATACCTGCGGGCCAGAGTTTTGCAAATATCTCCCGATCACTGAAGTTACATTGCTGTACTTTGTGTTAGCTGTTGAAGTAAACTGCGCCGTATGATTCATTGGCATCATGAAAGCAGATTGGATGGCAATGGATCAGAAATAGCCCTGCATAAAAGGGCATTGGTCCTTCATTTGAGCAGTTCTCCACTCTTTCGACAACGAGCACACATATCGCGAAAACGACCAGGTGTGGTCGATGTACTCGAATCATCGCGATTCTGAGGGAAGGCGAAGGCTCCGGAAGGTTAGCCGAATAAAAGCTTTTTATGGCAACTTGGTGTTAGCTCGTTAATCTAGAAAAAATACTGACTACTTTGGCCGATTTCCTGTAAAAGTCTGTTTTTAAGACAAAGCACCGGGCAAACAGTTTGAAATGGCACCCTATCAAAACCCCAACGTCCCCTTTGAGAAAGCAGCCAAGTATATGTAGATAACCCTAAATGAAACTTAGGAAACAAAGCCTCATTCCATCCGCGCTGTTGAAGTTTCAGAAAACGCTTAGAATGGTAAAAGGAGAAGGAAAGTAGCAGGTTTTGAAGCCTATAAAAATATCGAGAGCCTTCCTCTTTGGACCATGGTTGTGCTTCAACCTTTGCTCAGCAAACATGGTGATCATAACGCGTAAGCACTATGAGAAAGCTACTGGCGCTACAGAACTCACTATCGACGGTATTATGCTAGGAACTTCTCAAGCCAGTCAAGTGAAGAAGGTAAACCGAAGTTTCAGCTAATGTTTGGGATAGAGTATTAAGCATACTTACGTAAACTCCGAGATAGGAAAATAATCTTGCTTTCGAGTGAGCAAAACCCAGTGGACAAATTTGATATGGATATAGTAATTATTCCTCTAAACATTGTTGCCGATTTAGGCTCCCTAAATCAATCCAGTTGACGGGTGATTGCTGATAGCGCTGATCGATAGAAATAGCTGATAGACAAGCGAAACGAAGGATCCGCATGGTGTGGTGGTGGGCGTTAGCTTCCAGAAAGGGTAATAGCGCGATTGCTCCCCACTGCAGACATCTGCGGTTTGGAGTTTTGCAAATATCTCAGCATCATTGTGGTTATTCCTCTAAACAGTTTTTATTTTTCCATATTACGATGCGCTTCCTACCATGGGGATCTTAATGATTAAGGACATTCATTGTTACCTTCTGAAAACCTCTCTAATTCTGTCGCAGCATGCGTCATCACCAGCTGGCTTAGGTTTTGCTTTGCAGCTTTGCAATTTTTTTTACATCTGCACATCTGAAACACCAGTGGTAGAGGCTCAGTAGCTCCTTTGCATGTTAACATCCGCATTTATACAAAACAATACCTGGAAGGGTGTCATTCTAACACAGAACGAATTTAAGCGGTAGTCATTCTTTTCGTTCGCATACATGCTTCCATAGCTCACATCTTTCTGCTTCTTCACTTCTAGGCTCTTCAGCTATTCATAAGCAGCATTAATCGCTGTCACAGACTATGCACGTTACTACTTTGATAATCACACTTACACGACACTTACCCCCCATATTGTTCTGCCAGTCTATTCCAAAGTCTACTTTCTTCATTGTAACCTTCAAAGTCATTTAAGGCAAATCATCATTCATTATTTTTGCCTTTTTTTTTGGTCGTGTCTTATAATCTTTAGCAGTAGAATCGCTTGAAGTCTTCATGCCGTTACTGCTGCATTGATTTTATATATGTATATAAACATATATTTATTATGTATTTCATATGTGATAGCTGGTGTCGATTTATGTGCACGTGTAAAAAACAAGCCCACTCCAAAGTACAACAGCCATCAAAGATCAGAATAGTCAACCTTTCCACGTGCTAGTGCAACTGGTGAACCTCAACAGTAACAGAGCAAACTTGGTAGGGCGGCCAACGAACAGTTGGACTCCCTTCGACTTGACAAGAATGCTTTCTTTTCAATAAATATGTTAACAGAAAACATCGCGTTTATGACGTCGTTAGGGAAAATCCTGTATTTGTGAAATATAATATTCCGGATTTCACAACTACTACATTTCATAGACAGCTGTACTGATTGTAGGAAGCTGAACGGCCACATTTTTTCTCAGAAGAAAGCTGTAACTGTCTCAATGAAAATGCACCTAAAGATTCGAAACAAATGCGACGTTCATGGAGAGGTAGAGTTTACTAATCGATCATTAATTTCGCATTCTCAGGTACTCCAAATCGGGTTTTGTTCATTTCGAATAGTTCGGTGAGCGCCGCACAGTAGCGACTGTGAAGCCTGTTTACTTCCTCCACCGTCGGTTCAATCACTTTCGCGACGCTGATTGGTGCTCCCACAACGGTGTTGATTGGTCGACGATGCGGCATGAAACCGAAGTTCAGCTGAAATTCACTCAAAGAAAAATCACCTGATCCTTACTTTGACGTTATTTTATGCGCTACTGGCACCAACAGTTATTTTTTGAAACTTCAGTACCTTTCCACTTCTAAAATATTTGCACACAGAAACAATATCAGTCAACAAAGATTCCACCAAAGTTTGAGCAAACTGCATTTCGTTACGAAGATGGGCACGTACCCTTTTACTCGCATTCAATATTGTAGAAGGAGAGAAATTTGTGCTTGGAAGACATAATCTCCAAATTAGGAAAAAACCTTTTAGGTGAAACAGCCAGAAATATTTATAGAAAGAGGCATTAATGTAACACAGCGATTAGACATGCCCTGAGATGCACATGGTCGCTTGTTTGATGACAGCAGAGTTGTCTGCGAAGATGCAAATCGTGAACAATATATCGGCAGGACACCAGAAGTCACTGTAGAGGCAAAACCTACAAACACCTTTGAGATGCTCAGTGGAGTTGCATGAATGGGGCATTGCAAAGGAATAAATCAACAGCGAACAACTCGTTCGTTATTCATTTGTATTCCAAAAAAAGAGGGCGTGCGTGGGGCAGTGGTCGTGGGGTGCCCTGCAACACACGCGCGGAATCGATCTCCACGCCCATGGCCCACCAAGCCTTTCATTCCTCCGGGGTCAGCAAATAGCTACCAGACTTGTTTGAGGGGATAGCAGCACTGGCTCGATACATCGGTAGTCCACTACGAGTCATTGTAAAGGCCAGATACGCATTCAATCACCTCCAAACGATGCTTAATGAAGTCGAATGCATGGGGTATCCCTCGAAGTTTGATCAACACCAAGAGCTTTATCCTTATCCTTTTATTTCTACTAAGCAACTAATGTTACATTTTAACTGTATTTAAAATGATAAACACCGAAGTCATTCACCTGGAATAATCCTCTACCGTAGAAAAACGGCAGCGATATTCCAGTCAACTCCTTAAACCACGTCTGAAATCGACGCACACGAGAGCCTTTCGGGTTTTGTACCTAAATTATTAGCATGTAAACGCCATTTGCTTTTAACTGGCAATGAAGAATCATTGCAGACTAACTTGATCATAAACGTCGTTCTCCCCGAAAGAGTACACAGGAACCAGAGAAGCACCAGAACGAAGCGCTTCCTTCACGAAGGCTTTTCTCGAAAGAAGTGTTAACTTATGCATGTTCGGATGAGCATCTAGTGCTTCTTCGGCACCACCTTAAAATCAGTTTCTTATGTAAGTTGATGGCACTCGTTGTTGTACTCCTTTTTATTCCAATACTCTTTTCCCAGCCGCTAATTTCTAGCAATATAATTAGTTTGCAGTCGATGCAGCATTGTGGACATAGGAGTTACAACATTGCGCAAGTGAGGTCACCAAATTCACGTTTATTGGTTGTCATATAATATTGCGACAGCATACTTAGGTTTAGGGTTGTAAAGCGTAGAACTTAAAGATGGTGTGCAACAGACCCATGCTTCCTGATACAATCCTGCATAGACCAATCATTCCTCACATTCATCCGGGGTTGACAAATTAGTACAATAAATAGGTAAAACCTCTTATCCAGCTGTTCAGGAATTCCAGACGGAATCGATTTGACCAAAATTTAACAACATTCATGAAGAAGAAAAATGTTTGAAGTGACAGCCGACTAACACGCAAAATCCGAAAGCCTTCAGAATGACGAATGGAGGAAAATGAACTGACTAAAGAACTTTTCAGAATTCTTGCAATAATCCTGGTAAGTCGAATAAGTAAAAAATAAACAGGTAAAATGCTACGTTTGTTTAGCACAACGTTCGACAGTTTCGTGAAGGTTATCATCGCTTCACACTAGTTTCATTCGAGTCTTAATGTGAAGGTTACTATTAAATGATTACTTAATTATGCTTCCTAACTTTTTCATTCATCTTGTAAGCAAAGACCTCGGTTCATTACTGAATAATTTGTGGATGTCGAGACTGGTCAAACACTGCTCACCTACGACAATTACAACAGCACGGCCGCTTTTCTCCCCTGCTAATGCGTTTCTTATACTTTCCTTAGAACAGTCAATGAATCCGGACAGCAAAAGCATTTCCCTTCTGTAAATATCGCTGTTTTTCTTTCCTTCTTTCTTTAATTCCCTCGTTCTTTTCCTCTTTCTCTCTTTAGGCTATATATTATAAATTATTTACCTTATCATAATATTGAAGTTCGATACAAGCGTGCAAGCGAAGAATCGCAGGCCAGGGAACTAAATGTAAAATAAATAACGAAAAAAAGGCGCCTATCAAAAATTGTCATATAGAAAACAAGCCCAAGGATTTTTGTCGACTACCACGTAGGAACTATATCGTTACGTACTACTTTGCTCTTTTCGTTTCCCTCCGTAGCAAAATTTCCATAAATTCCCATACAAATGATTCCATGAGGGTGGCAAGCGAAGATGTAGTTCTGAAACGAAGAGAAGATGGATCACCTGATCCTCTGAACAGGAAGAAGCACAGAAACAGTGAAACAAGACGACATGTAAGATTGGACAATCTAAGACACTCACACGATCTGCAGGTAATTCGGTGGTTTTGTGAACGGAAATCGGAAAATACTTGGCAAACCACTTGTTAATCCGCCACCCGAAAACGGTTTTAATCATAAAAATGCCAGATTGAAAGAAAACCTCTTATGAACACTCACTCTTGCATCCATGTCGTCTGATAGCCACCGTTCTTGGGAGATTTACTGTCATAGATGTACCATATGCCATAAAGAAATAGAATATGCCATTGGTATGTAAGGAACTAAAAAATTCAGCCAATAGTCAGTGACTGAAACTCTCTGGTGGTCGGAGCTAAATAAAAAGGTGAAAACTACTCTTAGTCATTTTTTCTTAATAAATAATCTCAGAGAAAAAATTATAAAACAATTTTTTTGGTGCTTTCTCCAACTTAAAGCTTTGCTTTCACTTTGGTGTCATGGTTCTCCCATACTGACGTATACATAATCATTTGGTCATAAAGCGACAAGACGCGTGCACTGGTGGCTGATAGGGGTAAATGTGTACAAAAGCGACCTTGCACCTGCCCTGAGATGAAGTTAGATTCAGCAGATGGAAACCATAGTTTTTGCCAGGACAGATTGCTATTTACAACCCTTATGTAGGTGAACACGTTTAAACAAATCTTCAAATCGTGACTGGAATCAAGTGGTTGAGAAGTGAACTGGCATAATTTCTAGTATCTTTTAAGAAATGAACACCATGGCTACTGTGAAAACCCCCAGAAAGATATCCTCTGGTAACTATCGTTAAAAACGGCAAAAATAAAGGGCGCTATTATGTTGAACCCAAAAGAGTGCCCAAGTCCGACAGCACCGGTGAAGGAAAAAGCGAAGGGGTTGCAAAATTTTTGAGCTAATTGCACGTTTGCTAAGATTGGAAGGACCAATGTGATACAAAATATTGTCAACGGATAGCCGTTATCCACTTAACTTTACTTAAGATTATATATTATTAGACAATGACAATGTCCACTAAGGCTTCGTTGATAAGAGCTTGCAGAACTAAGAACGACGTCAGTAGACTGGTTGAGATGAACAGATACCACCAGTTTATGATACTGAACAACGATATTTGGAGAAACGCGGGTCAAGCTATACCAGAGAATTCGGCTATATTGATGTTCTCGTCAACCCGCATTTGATCATGAATTTCGATTCTTTGAAAAAATTAAGGACCTTGATCGGACGGACATAGCCGGAAAAAGTTGTGGAGTAGCATCGTCTTTGACAATCATTTTCCTCTACGCCAAGATATGAAGCTGTGATGAAGATCGAATCGAAGCATTTTATATGCACATGGAAAAATTTTAAAGCTAAGATCATGTCTTCTATAAGATCACTGTGTAAATTGCCAAAATGAGAAAGCATTTGAAAACCATCACAACTACTTCACGCGGAAGACTCACAGAGTGAGTCTGAGACGCTGGCCGAGCCTACTTTGATTGTGAAGGTCATTCGTCGTAACCTACAATTCCGCATTCCCTCCTCCTAAAGTTGGATTTGGGGATGCCCATTGGTAAATAACTTAAAGACAAGAAATCATATCATAGTAAATCGATGCTTTGCTTAATCGATACCGTTCTTGGTTAACAAAGAATACGATTACTGCCTCGGCTCAAGGAAGAGAAAGATGCAAAATTAAGAAAACTAAGTCCTAAATCGCTGTGAACTGAAATTTGTTACTCTCGCCTTCTTTCTCCTTCAGAAAATAACATTATCAAAACTATCGATTAAGAATAAACAAAGGCTCTGAAAACGACCAAGAGATATCTGATTACAGAAGCCTTCGAGCCGATATGACAATATTGAGTTGCGTGTGTCTCATACATCCATCAACACATGCTTGATCGTGTGAATGCTCCAGAAAAGTGATAAAAGAAGGTCTTAAGTTTATTGAATTTTCCTCTATTCGACGGTCACATCTACCGACTTTTATGTAAACTCAGATATAAAGCACATGCCGCGATCACGATTTTTGCTTTCTGTGATGGACATGTTGTACCGTCCATGAGAAACCGTACTGCTCTCAGCCAAGACAGGATTAGACGTCAATGCTTGAAAAAGTTGCCACTAATCTTCGTTATCCCGCTGGCATAAATTTTACACGCTATAAATCAGACCTTAATGTTCGCAGTCAGTGAAAAACGAACCAGACCTATTTTTGCACAAAAAACGAACCTGCTTCCCAATTTGCCTAAGCCTACTGAATCGGAAGCTATTGTCTAATTTGCCTGCTGCTTGCCATCGACGAGTTCTTTACTCGAGAAGTCGTCAGCAGTATTGAGAGAGTATTGGAGTAAGAACAACTACACGAGCAAGCAAGGAAATAGACGACTATTCAAGGAAATAGACCCCTATTCACTGTCAAATGCTAACCATGTCCATGGAGGAGAAGGGGCAGGTAGCACAGTGGTAGTGTGCAGATCGTCAACAGCACCATGTCCATTCAACTCCGCCTCGAGTTCACCAAGCCTGTCCTCCCTACGCGGTCGGGGAATTGATATCAACTTGTCTAAGCAAAGCTCGTTCTCTGCAATCCAAGTGGGAATTCCTTAGCCCGACTATCATAGGCCTCAAGAGAGTATCGACTTGAATAGCAAGCAACGACATACATAACGAAGGAAAGATCCTCAAACAGCAGCTGAACGCGCATAAAGTTTGAAGACCGCAGTGGGTGAAAGATACGAGTAAACCAACCGATTGCGAGAACTGCTCGGATCTGCACGGTAGATATGAAAGACGGCGGTCTAAAAAAGAAATCATGCCTATACAACAACTTAATCGTTAGTATTACACCATTCTACCACACTTCATTGTTATCCTGTCTTTAAACAGGATGCCACCATTATGCCAGAGTGCGGTCACCTTCATATGAAAACGGAACCCATGGTGCGAAGGCGAACAAATTAAAATTGACGATTCTCCGATGACAGAGACCATTACGTATGTGTACGATGGACGTTCAACGAAAATGGTGTGCTAGATAGTTTGAAGAGGAGGTGATAGAATTTTCTCAGGCAGTACAATCTGATAAGGCTGATTCAAAATATAATACAGTAGCCGCAAATGTTTATATAATAAATGATACACCAGATGCTCTCAGAATAGGTCATCAGATCGTCATGGGAAAGTCCAACAGAGCATCTTGCCGTTACAAAATGACAAAGCGGTGGGAGGCAAGTGCGTGTATAGATGGAGAATATCCGATAATTATAGAGAATGTTCCCTATGCTATGCTCGAAGCCGACCGCCACCATGGACAACGGATGCCACCAGTGAAGAAAAGCTATCCAAGTTTCCAAGTAAACCAGTGGGCTGTGGACTATGGATTCTGATCATCGGCTTCGATGAAGACGAAGATATCGAGACGTTAGTCGAATAAACATTTTAGTCAGCCTCGTGTTAGCTTGACAATCCAAGAAGAGATGTATTCTTCTTCTTGATTACTTCAAGCTTACGGCAGCGATCTCGATCTTTAAAACGAAGAAAATCCTTTGGGCAAAGTCAGAATGCAGCCTTTTATTTGACGATCTAAGGAACATACGAGTTTCCCTGATGCCTTCTGAGTAGTAATACGATCTTGCAAGGGATTTATTCTGCCGTGGTTGTTTCACAAGGTTAGAGAAAACAAAATGGATTAATTCCATAGTTGATCACCGTACACTGACCACAGCCATTCTGTACGGCTTTTGAGGCTAGGAAAGTTCGCTGTCGAATTATCGGTTGATGATCATTGGCCAAGCGTTTACGATTATCAAGAAAAATCCGATTTTCACCACAAGCTACAAATTTGTAATAGGTTAGTAAAGTTCTCCGTACCAAAGGAACGGATTGGCATTTCCCAGTCGACCCACATTTTGACCATCTGTGTGGCCGCGTAGCACGCATTCGTAGAGCTCGTCAATTCTTCCGATTTATTGGGAAACTAACTCTAATGACTTCATTTGAAATGTATTTAGTTCAATGCCCATGATGATCTATTTCGTCCCTTGTCTCTGAGTCATCGATGTCCAAGTCTAAACCACTTGAATAATCTCTACACCGTTCACATAGCAGTTCTCTAGACTCTGTTGATTTGCAGCTATTTTCGCTGCCACATGGCCAAGCATGAACCAAAGAGGAAGTATGCACCCGAAAAGCGACCTTCTCCACATCAAACAAAAGGTGCGCATGTTTAATAAAGCAAAAACAGAGATAGCGAAGAAAGCCTTTAAATTATTAAATATATTTTTTGCTTAACCTTTTTATTTACTGCCTATTCTTTTTAACGGCAGGGTATTTCGCGAAATGTAACTACTACAACGCCGCGATATTTGCAAGACTTCGGACCGCAGGTATCTGCGGTGGGGAACGAACGCGCTGTCCACCTGCGGTCCGGAGTTTCGGAATTATCAGGCAGCAAATAAAAAATGAGCATTGTGATCTCAACTACAGCCTCATCTTAAGTGGGTTCAAAGCCGATTTGACTCCTCAGATCAATCTCGTTGACGGGTGATTACTGATTGAACCAATCGATAGGAAACTAGCTGAGAGATAGGCGAAACTAAGAAACCGCATGGTGTGGTGGTGAACGCCTTAGCCCCCGGATTGGGGTAATAGCGCATTCGTTCCCCACCGCAGACACCTGCTGTCCGGAGTTTTGCAAATATCTCAACATCATTGTGGTTGCATTCCGCATAATACCCTGCCACGAAAAATTGTACTAGGTAGCAAATAAAAAGTGGACGCTGTAATATCACAATGTTTCAACTTCTATTTACTGCCTATTCTTTCTCCATGGCATGATAGGGTACTATGTGAAATATAACGATAAAGTTGCTGAGGTATGAGGAAAATTTGGATCCTCAGGCACTCTACGAACCCGTGATTCATAAGTTATTAGATGGAAAAAACTTATTGATTAAGAGTTAAAAGATTTATAACCTCACCAAAATGAATGGCAGTAGCATGCATATGAAAGTAAAAGGGAAGGTGAGCACGAGGTTCACCAAGACACCAATAGATTGCAGTTGTCGATACCACGGTTCCACGAGTGGAGAGAAGTCGATGCCGAGCACTCGCGCCATCATGCAAGAAGAATCCGGCTCTGCTTAGACT